AAACATAATACAATATTTCCCTTCAAATTGTAGTGGAGTAAATGTATGACTGTAAAGCAATGGATGATTTTGCTAATACTTGACATTCCACCACTGAAACATTGGTATAGTGATATTTGTTGATCTTTCCTGACACTTTCGTAGGGTTTCTCTCTTCTGATGTGGTATACAGTTTGGAATTGATTAGGATTATTGGGTAAGTTCCTCAAAGGGCCCAGTGACATCACCCCTCTGTCCTGCCCTGTTGAATTGGCGTGCAGTGATGCATTTCAGATCCAACAATAAGAGATTTGGCTCCTGATCACCACACACTGCAGCTCTCATGTCAAACAGAGGCTGCTGTCACTCATGGCTTCCCTTTGACAGGCACACACTGCTCTGCTGTTTGCTCACCAAACCATCCAGAAACAACAACTGGGTGTTACTGGGTGCCAACACAGTGTCTATCAGTGTGATGTTCTGTTTCTCAGTTTGATAAGTAATGCAAACATTATCTCTATAGTAGCCACCGCTCAATGGACAAATGTCCTTTTTCCTATGGCTGGGTTCACTAAGCATGAACAATCAAATAGCCATTGAGGTGGCTAGTTGAGTTTCTTAAATTGGCAGGTAAAAGATAATATACTCTGGCATTTGAAATCACAATATTTACTTGCATGATTTTCAAATTCCTCTATTTTTCAGCATTGCTGCTTTCCAGAGAGACCTTTCTTTATTATGTTGGACCCACCACAGTGAAACCCAGATTTTGGTCCATTTAGAAAAGCATTTGGCGCTCAAACATATCACATTCTAGCCAAAACCCTAATTCCCACAGCAAGTAGATTTCTGAGAAGGATGATGTAATTATATCCAACCCATTCACATACCGGTTTTACAAATCGACGAGGAGGGCAGTTTGAATTCCTGCTGCCTACATGGGCATGGGTGGCTGTTGAGTCCCATGGGGAGGGGGGTGCTGGGTGAAGTGAAAAGGCTGAGCTGTGATGAGAGCTTTGTGAAGCCCCAAGGAGCTGTGGTTACACCCGCTGCTGCTTGTGTATTCAGGGAACACTGACACACACAGTAGTTGTATCAAATATCTCAGGCTAGAGTCCAATGATCGGCTCTATAATGTCACTGCTCTACTTTAAGAAGCAGTACTGTGAGGTTGGGATTTTCCTCCAGTTTGCCTCCTCTGGAAAGCTCATTGCTAACTTTTTGGAATGAGGCAGTGGGTTTTAGAGTTGGAGAGAGAAGACAGAGGATGATGTTAACCATAGTGCAGTTATTATTGATGCTGTAATGCTTGGCCTCCACTCAGCCCCGACTCGTCACATCCAGCCTCTCACTGAGCTCTCCTGGGGAACGACTCATCAGAGTCCCCCTGTCAGCTCAGGGCTGAAGACTGTCAGTGTTCCACAGGCAGTATGACCATCCTCCACTGTGTTTAGCATTTCCTTTAGCAGGATCGTATCTGTGCAAATGCATGGCATAAGCTACTGGCTCTCCTTTTTCCCACAGTGTGAACATCTAACTATGTTTTAGTCAAATGAAAACACCAATTTTGTATTTGAAACTGCTGCATTGAGTTTTTTTTATCCGTTTTAATAAAAACTTCCTACAGGCCGGATCTTAAGTTATCAAAGAGACAAGCAGAGTACTTGTAACTCTGCTGTGTTTTTTCTAGCTTTACTCTCTGGGACATCTAGTTCTGGAGAGGAGGAAACCTCTGAGGATCATTTGTAACCCTAATCAGTAGAAGCTGAATGCAATGACAAACTCCCATTGGGCGCTACGCTGCCTTTTGTTATTGGATTAGAATTGAAATGAGAGCCTCCTTAGTGGCAGAAGGTGACATGTTGTAAAATTAATCAAATTAGTCTGAATATTTTGACACCGACCCACCCTCCTTTGTAAATAATACTGGGAAAACAGTTAGAGAATGTCTTTTTGTCTCTGGAGGAACTTTGTCAAGTCTGATGAAAGAGAACCCTGAAGAAGTCATCGGATAGTGATGTCTTTTAGTTATTACATCATTTAGGCATGTTCAATTCAAAATTGAAATCCTGCTTTCAGAGCTGGACGTGTGGAGTTTGAAAGATGTTATCAAGGCAGGAAGTGTGTATTGAATGACACTACCCAGTTGCATCATGGGACATTAATGATCCTTTTTTTCCCTTTCTTTTTGGATTTTGACCTTTGCTAGGGACTCTGAAGTCCGAGTGTCTCAGCCTCTGCTGCACACTTTATGAATTCCTGCTTCTAAAATGTACTACTAAATCAGTGGAAAACCCCTTCAACCGGCTCCAAGCTATACATCTTGAAATTAATACGACAGAAATGTTAAGGTTTATAAGTCCCACAAACCTTACCTTGAATGCCTTTCCCCCAGCTGGATGTGAGCAGTGAGTGTGTCAGCTTCAGTGCTGAGCATGCTGCCCTCACACTGTGAGTGACAGTCAGCAGATGGGAGTCTCTGTCCCTCTCTGGAGAGTCATACTGTCACTGCACTCCTCTTCCCCGCATCCTACAGTCAATCTGCTCTCCTTATGAAAAGTGACGTGTCAGTGGTGTGAGCCAACACAGTTGCACAGTCAGACCCTTCCCCCTCCACATTATACTGAAGGCCATTTCTGATGCCTCAACAATGAGTAAGCAAAGCTGTCTCAGCATTCTTTTTCTGCGGTATAGGAGTGCAGAAGGAATTTCTCCCTGAGGGGTGAATTGTAGCTCCACTTCTCTCTGAAATGGAAGATGTCTGTGGATGCACGTGCAGAGGCCAGCTGTTGATTCAGAGTGCTGCTTTCTTTGCTTTGCTGAACCTCATTACAGGAAACATGCCTGCCGTCCACACTTCAGTTAGTTTCAACAACCCTGTGTTGTCAGTGACTTGGTGTTAGTCTACACACAGTGTCCAATTGTTCTACCCAGTCACTCATTCCTTGATATTTAAAGGGGCCCCTATTGTACTTTTTGGGGTCTTTTCTTTCCTGTAGTGTGTTCTATTGGTTTTTGTGCTAAAATCCCAAAGTTCCTTCCAGAGGGAGTTTCTCTCCCTAGGCTCTGGTTTCAGACAGAGGGTGAAAAGAGGTGCTGCAGCACATGAGAACATTAAAGCATGGGGACATGTCACAGTAGAGGCACATGAGCAAATAGGGCCTCCTTAAAACACAATTGCACCCGAAAGCATTTCAATTCTGTAAGTATATTCCACTCGCAATGGAATTTTTAAATATCAAAATCAATCCACACATTGTCTTCTTCCAAATCCAGGTTCCACAAACATTAACCAACAATGCAAAAGTAATCACAGAAAAGAGTTGCCTGCCAACAGAATTTCTGAGATGTTTCTTTGTATCTCTTTTGAATATATTCTTGCTACTATTCTGCAATGACAAACTTTTACATTATTTCAGCTCCAAAGTAACTTTCCATTTCCAACAGCTCTTTATATTAATGTTAGTTTGGTCTTAATGTGTTTCACACTTGATTGACTGTTAATGAAGTCTGCTGCACGCAGTTAACTCTGCAGCGTACGTTTAGCATGCAAAACAGGCAGCCTCATTCACTTTGATCTAATGGTCTCTGGGCACGAGAGCCCAGTCGAACACAGCGGCTGTTTCTAAATAATAATATTCATAACAGCTGTGATGCTGCTTCGTGATGCTGTGTGAGTCTCTATAAATGAATCTTACTGCTTTGACTCTGTTATTGTGTTGTTGTTGTTGTTGTTATGTTCCAAACACGCAAGTCAGACTTAGCATTCTTTAACTAAGCTTGCTTTGTTTCTGGAGATGGAATTTGATAAACACTGGCCTGCTTTCTATTGTAATGCTATCCGTTAAAGTAATGTAACCTGGAATATCAATAGATAAGTGATGCAACAGCAGATTTTCCATTTCAGCACCAGGAGATCTTTTTGAAAGATTTAGCAAAGTTCCAGATGTTGCGGTGGAAAGAACACAATGATCATAGATGGGATAGGTATGGAGGTTCTTAATATGTTCCCTTTCAGTTAGAAACTTTCACCTAGTGTTCCCGGTTGTTGTTTCATTTCCTGATGCCACGTGTGAGGTTACATGTTTTAGAGCGTGGAGCAATTTGATTGGTTGGGAAAGGTGTGTAGCACAATGTACGTTTTCACAGAGAATCAAAGACACAGAAGTGACAGGGAGGGCGAAGAAATGACACATGCCAGAGAACAGAGTGGATTTGGAGATATGTTTAATTATTTGAAATGTGTTAAGTGTCAGTCAATACTTAAGAATGTAGCAAAGGCAAGAAATAAAGAGTACAAGTGATTCATGCATTTTAAAGAATTGACCTGGGAAGAATACTCTAATATCAGGATAATTCAAATACTCAGTATAACAATCAACCAATAGTCGGTCAAACTGAACCAAATTCTCCGTTGAAAGAAAATGTATGTGAAGTTCTCCTAAGTGGAAAAACACTCTTCAACTTTCATCTCACCAGTAAATGACCGTTTTTAAGGTCCGATTTGTTGAACCAACTTGCTTTATTGTTCCCCCCTCCACCCAAAAAAACATGGTTTGTTCAATTCAAGAAAGCCTTTCCACATCTCTCTACAGCAGATCAAACAACTGGTGTAGTTTAAGAAGCTTACATCCCCTTTCCCCAGACGTAGTATCTGATAAATGCGGTCTGGGTATTTTAGAAGGTCTGCTCCTTTTGTGTCTTGTTTTGAAGGGGAGCAGAGGGTACTGGTGTTGGATGTGAAGGATTCCTTTGTAGTTGCCTGGGAGGTGGTATTTAAGAACGAAACCTTCGCTTCATGGAAACTACACATGCATAAAGGAAGGGTTTGCATTAGAATGGAGGTGAAATGCACAATGGGATGGGACAAGCCTGAGCAGCCTGTATGGGGTTTCATTCTAGTCCATAGAGTTTGTGTGAAAGCTGAGCCTGTGTGAAACCTACAGGCACTGGTGAGTAGTAAACCGTTGTGTAAGAGGTCTAACATGTGTCCTTCCTTCCTTCCCTCGCTCGCTCCTCAGTGTCTAAGAAGCACGGGAAGCTGATCACCTTCTTACGCACCTTCATGAAGTCCAGGCCTACCAAGCAGAAGCTGAAGCAGAGAGGCATCCTCCGGGAGAGGGTGTTCGGCTGCGACCTGGGCGAACACCTCCTCAACTCAGGACATGATGGTGAGACACACGAACACACACCTGAGAGCACCAGAGTTTCCTGGATCCTTCCAGGCTTTTATTCTTAACAGACTCTTAGTGTATTCTGACTGGCGAGGGTCTTAAATTACCTGGAGCCTGATTTAGGGCAGAAAGTGCTGGCCATTATTTGCAACAAGCTTCCATTAGAGACAGGCTTTGATTTCTGTTCCCTGGTTAATGGAGTGGTAGAGATTACATGTTTCTGTAGAATGTACCAGAAGTTAGCATCGCATGGGCTCCCTTAAAAAAAAAAAAAAAAGCAATGGGATTTTTCCATTGGAATTCAGAATATTGCAGAAAGAATATCTCTGTCAAACACACGATTATGATTCTTACATATTTTGGTCAGCAGGATAATCTCATATTCTGTTGTAAAAAGCGATATGATCCCGAACACCTGCTGCATCCTCCATTTCAAATAATGAGCTAATGGTTTTTAGATAAGAGCCATTGTGAGCCTCCTCAGATTCACACCACACTGTGAGTTAAAGCAGTTCGGCCAGCCCTCTCTGCCTGTAAGTTAGATAATAGCTGGGCTTAAGTACATAGCTACATGTACCTGCTGTAGCTACATTGATGTTCTGATCCCTCAGCAGCACGCTGTCTGTGAGGTGAGCTGATGGGATGGTGTCAATGACAGAGGTGGAGGAGAATGGTTTCCTGATTACCCTGTGACATCAGCTCCAACCACTGTAATGATGCTTCTCTGCTGCTGAAGCGCAGCCAATGACTTCATTTCACTTCTGGTTGAGACCAACTTAAAAAGCCATTAATTCATGTTAATGGTTCAATTGTGTGTCTGGACATGAATTGTTCTTGTCGTAGCAGCACATTGAATCACAGTGATCACAGACGGGTGAAGCATTCACTCCCTCTCTGTACATCCTGCCTTACCTTGACATGGAGAGATAAGCCACTCTGTCACACTTTGCTGGGTCAAATGTTTGACGTGTTACGATTGCTTCAGTGACTTCAAGAAATGAAAGAGGACTTTGATCTTATGGAACAAGAGAAATACCATTTGCGGTCATCTACAAGTAGAGTGCTGAGTCTGCTCCTATAAAGACCGGTGGTAGGTGAAGTACTACTTTGCTTACTAACTAAGCAATATTTTCTAGACAAAAAAGTTGTATAACCGGTTGTTAGATGTTGAATAAATAAATATAGTCATAAACAAAGCTTTTCAAACTAAAATTATAATCCATAGAATGTTAATGTTCCAAATAAATGTTGTCCAGTCAACAGACAGCCAGGCATCTTATAAGCTTCATCAACAAAGAACATCAAACGGAGAGTTAAAGCCATAATCCTATGCTCCATGAAATAAAAGTAGCTTTTTTTAATCCAATTTTCAGAGGGGTATAATGACAAAGGAGAGTCAGCGCTAAAGACAAAGGGGTCTTCCAAGCTACCATTTCTCTTGCTAGCTTGGTTCTACAAAAGTCCACTTTGACAATATAATGTCTTATTAACAATATTATTAAAGGGGACCTATTATTCTTGTTGGGATTTCCCCTTGCGCTTTTCTGGCTAGGGCCCCAGCACATTATACGTGACAACTTCAACTTTTTCACAGACTACCTTCATCTGTCAAATAATTTACCCAAACATCTCAGCTTCCACTTTGAGTGTAAATGTGACTCTGCCACTGCACTTGAGCTTTGAAACTAAAATGCAAGGTAACAAACTCTTCACTTAAATAAATTGGATGCTGTTGTTTGAAATGTAAGAGGGTTCACTACTGTTGTGTCCAAATCTGACTCCACATTCATGTTGTGTATCTTTGCGATAAAAAGTTCTTCCTACGTAAAGAGCTTGGAGAGGACTTATCCACCCTCGCTGTCCTCTTCTCTGTTGCAGAATGACATTTCCTTCAAATCTGGCCGCCTTGTTTGCTCTTTCGCTATGTGTGGAATTTGTCTGGACAGCTGCTTCAGTGCATGTCCCACTCTGCCATTTCTGAATGCAGTTTGAGCCTCCTTACACACATAAACACCATCCTTATCTACCATATACACACACACTCACAAAGAGAAATAGCATGTCTGCATGATTCATGGTTGCTGAAGGAGAATTAAGAAGCTCTGAGGTTTCTCTTCATTGTCTCAACACACAATCACTGGCATTGTGCTTTAAAGAATGTGATTTGCTGCCTCATTCACTGACATGTTTTTCTAACTATTTACTCCAAAAACATCAAATAAAGAAATCAAATATTTTTAAAGCTCTCAGGATATTGGTTCAAATGTTTCCCCCTTCAGCTCCAAAAGTCCTTTTTCCTCAGATAGCACAAGAAATGTAGTTAATCACACTCAGAAGTCTTTCAGCGCCTGCAGCCTCTTGTCCAGAAAGCCTGTGAGCTCTAGCTTGACCTCGCTTGTACTCGCTCTTCAAAAGAAGAGTCATCACATTCTTGACCGTGAATCTCTCAGTGAAGACTGGACAAATATTGACTTGTGTGTGAAGTGTTGAACGGCTCTTTTTCTCTTCACAGTGCCCCAGGTCCTCAAGAGCTGCACCGAGTTCCTCGAGAAGCACGGTGTGGTGGATGGCATCTACCGCCTTTCTGGAATTGCCTCAAATATCCAGAAATTACGGTAGGAGACACACTGCCTGTTTATTACAACATGTGATTCAAATGTCAAATCAGAATCTCCCCTAATAAAAAAACGAGTTAACTAATTTGTACAGAAATGTCCTTAAATGTCATAGGAGGAGCTTACAAACCGTATCCTACCATAGCCCTCTATAAGCTGACAACATATGAATTCCATCTAGGGTTATTGCATCTGTAAAAGAAAATCATGATGACGTGCCGTTTAATAGGTGTTACCCATCAACAGTTACACTGGATCAGAACTGAAGTAATCTGAGCTCTGACTGCAGTTGTAACTGTTAAAAGGCAATTTATATGTTGTGGACATTTAAGTAGTTATTGTCAGTGTCAGTATAATCCTATGTTTACATGTAAACTAGTGCAGTTCCTGTTCAGGATAACTGGTGCAAAATCTTCTTGGATTTCACAGAGACTAGAGCTATTCTACTATAATATTCAGGGGGGCAAGTTTTCAGAATGCTAACAATTTAAAAAAGAACATGTAAAAATGCCCTGCATTTAATTTCAGCGTTTGAGCATATAGAAATGTAGGCTATATTTATAATTATTCTGTTAGACTCATGGGAGCAATGTAGACCTGTTTTATTATTGAGCAATATGTTCTAGTTTTATATTTGTTCATGCAAAAACATTGCATTCTCATATTAGTATTCTTGGTATTGTTAACTGTGACTGCACACCATAGACCACATGACGTTGGGAAGGCACAGATCAACAATGTTCTCTTCTAAAAACACGAATGAAATGCATTCTAATGTCATATTCATCCATCAAACTACAGCAGTCTCTTATCGATGCATTTTTCCTCAGGAGAAATGAATTAGTTGACCTTGCTTTGCCCCCTATCTTTCACCAGGCATGAGTTTGACTCTGAGCAGATCCCCGACCTGACCAAAGATGTGTACATCCAGGACATCCACTGTGTGGGCTCGCTGTGTAAGCTCTACTTCAGAGAGCTGCCCAACCCCCTGCTCACCTACCAGCTCTACGAGAAATTCTCTGTAAGCAAAGCCTGAGCAGCTCAAGCACTTCTCACACACTAATTTCTAGCACAAATGTGTGGATATACAAGTCTACTTACTATTATAACACTTGACTTACTGAAAGATACTGATTGTGCTTAGTCTCTAGCGTAAAGTAATGAAATGTATAGAAATTCCTATAAATACATCTTGTAAGAATTCGACAGTGCATCTTGCATGTATTAGTCATAGACCCCACTGACATACAGTATAAGCATTGTACCTAACTCTATGTGTGACTTGGAAAAACAATGTTGTCCAAGCATAACAGAGATTTCAAGTAAATGCTGGTTGTTATTGCAGCTGGAGAGAGGAGGGGTGGGGGGGGGCTGTGGCTCCTGACGGATTCCCCCCTGCTCCATGTAGCGGCGTGAACCTGGGATAACAAGTTAATTTAGCCTTGTGTTGATTCATCACACTATTTATCTCCCTTTCTTTTCACTTTGAAGGATGCTGTATCAGCAGCAACAGACGAGGAACGACTCATCAAAATCCATGATGTCATACAGCAGCTTCCTCCACCGCATTACAGGTCAGTGTAGAGGCACACCGCCCCCCTGTGGCAGACTCAGGAACTGCCAGATACAAATGCATCCTGTGTTGTGGCTCCTGTCTTGATCAAATAATTGTTTTTTTTACGGCCACAATGCATTGAGGGGAATCATTTAACAGGTTATACTCATCTGTGTGCTTTCCAAAAGCATACCAATGCACATTTCTAAGTGACATTCCTTTGGGATAGATCACATGGTGAAATATTGATGCTCTGAAGAATAAGCTCTATCATGGCCATTAGTGTGCATATAACTTGTAGGGGACCAATTTATGTGGATTAATAGATGTTTGATTCATAGGACCCTGGAGTTCCTGATGAGACACCTGTCCCACCTGGCAGCCTACAGCTACATCACCAACATGCACAGCAAGAACCTGGCTATCGTCTGGGCCCCCAACCTTCTGAGGTGAGGGCCTCCTGCACCACACAATGTTCTCTGAATGCATGTTTTATTGAGTTGAATACACTGTCTATCATCACATTAAAGCCACCTTGATTGGTTGTTTTCTTCATGTTTTAAACAATAAATCTCAAACTAATTCTAATGGTCTTCACAGTTTGATGTATCTGTAGTTTAGGTTATGTAGGTTTTGTATACTTCTCACATTAAAGATTTCTCAGACTTATTGAAACACTCACACTTCAACACATTTACCTGATATGCTCAGGGGCGGGACATGTCAAAGTGGTTTACCAATCACAACAGCTAACCAATCAGAGCTGACTGGGCTCTGGTTTCAGACAGAGGGTGAAAAGAGGTGCTGCAGCACAGGCAGTATGAGAAAAGTAAAGACCTTTTTGAACATTAAAGCATGGACTTGGACCTGAAAATGAGCATAATATGTTCTCTGTAAACGATGATGAGCTCTGTGCAGCATAACCTTTCCTGTCTCCTGCTTTAAATCAGTCATTCTGCCTTAGTGGAAGGATTTGGGCACATTTCTGCAGGGAGTGCTGATCAACGCAACATCAAATGCTGGGAATGCATCTCAAAAGTCATTTTTAACTAATTAAGATGAATTGTTTACCTATAACTGATTTGCTATTACTTATTTAAAGTCGGGCATTTGACTAAATCTAACCCACATATCCTCCCCTGTCATTGTCAGGTCAAAGCAGATTGAATCTGCGTGCTTCAGCGGCACAGCAGCCTTCATGGAGGTCCGGATCCAGTCAGTGGTGGTGGAGTTCATCCTCAACCACGTGGATGTTCTATTCAGCTCCAAACTCAGCTCTCTGATACGAGAGGGAGCAGGTACGTTCAGGCCGTCTGCAGATACCTCCTCTGCTCACTACATCTCTACACCAGCTAATGCTGCTTCTTCTTGAGCATTAAACACTGTTCTATATCGCCAGGTCACAACTCGTTGTCGCGGCCTAAGTCCCTGCTGGTTTCGTCTCCCTCTACCAAACTCCTGACTCTGGAGGAGGCCCAGGCCAGGACCCAGGCTCAGATCAACTCTCCGGTCACTGAGGACAGCAAGTACATCGAGGTGGGCGAGGGTCCGGCTGCTCTGCAGGGGAAGTTCCACACTGTCATTGAGTTCCCCACTGAGAGGTTTGTTAACTCCTCTGTCTAATTTGTCATTTAATCACTATGTGTCAATTGTCATTTAATATACAATCTAAGTAGTAAAGACACACTCTAGGCCCACAGACATCTACCACACGTCTACTGTGTGCATTTAATGTTGGCTAGACTATATTGAAGAGTTTTCCACCTGCACCAGGTTGCCAGTATTTCAGAGGACAGTCGCTGTCTCCACTTTCAGACTTGGGAAGATATCCTTAAAGTAGAGATGATGTAAAAAAAAGCTTAAATCGAGATGGGATTGATTATTTGTCCCCTGTGTCTGAATCTGTCATTGAGTTATGGTGTCTATGTGACTAAGTGAAACTAATTCTTCTTTGCCTGTGTTTCCATTATCATAGGAAGAGGCCTCCTATTAAATCAAAGAAGTCTCCTGTAGGTAGTTGGCGCTCTTTCTTCAACCTGGGCAAGTCTTCCTCCATGTCCAAGCGCAAGCTGCACCGCAACCCCAGTGAGCCCAACGAACTGAAGGCCATGGCCCTGGCCGGTGAGTCTTGCCTCCTCAATTAGAAGGAAAATAGTCCAATTGTACAAAGACAGGAGCTTATTTGACTAAACAATGAAAACAATGTTTAATCCTTTAAATGGCTTTGTTTCAGGAGGCAGAGGAGACACGGCAACATTAAGATCAGCCAAGAGTGAAGAGTCACTGAGTTCCCTGCACAATGTTGAAGGTAATCATTTGTGTCTTCTAGTTTACTATCACTCATTGCTGCCCCAACTGTAGTAAATAAAGCCTGTTATAAAAATAGTTTCTGAATATATTATTTTCTTTCTTCAGGAGAGTCGAAGGTGTACCGTCCTCGGAGGCCGCGCTCCAGCAGTGACGCTCTGTCAGCCTCCTTTAACGGTGAGCTGCTGGACAGCCGGCAGCACTGCAACTCCTACGACAACCTGGACGCCACAGAGGACAGCGACGGAGACGACGGGCCCATCTGTGTGCCTGCCCTCATCTCCCCCCCCCGCTCAGCAGGTGAAGACGTGGACCTCAGCCCGCCAGACATCGGCATGGCCTCCTTGGACTTTGACCCCATGTCTTTCCAGTGCAGTCTCCCCGACACCTCTTACGCCTTCCCTTTAGATGACTCACCCAAGGGGGCTGAGGGTTCCACGTTAAGGAGGAACCATGGAAGCGCCTGTGGAAGAACCAATGGCTCTGACCTCATCGCTGCCACATTACTGAGCAGCCTGATGTCCACAGACTTCAGCCTGGCCGCTGGACATAAGGTGGAAAGCAACAAACTGACCACTTCCTATTCTTACACTGACAAACCCACACAGGCCGTGTCACCTATTAAATGTGGAAAGACCACTAGTTTAACGCCTTTTCCCACTTACGAGCTTTTCTCTACTGAGGTGCCTGACAGGAATACGGCTGTACAACCTTCATCCCCTTCTTCAGCAGAGGAGGAATCTCCTCCCCTGATGGGCAGTGTCCTGCTGAGGGCAGCAGAGCCGTCTCTCAGTGAAGCTTTTCAAAAGGAGCTGCACTCTAAGCTGGAAGCCTTTGAGAGTGTGGACAATGGAGAGCTGAAGGGAGAGGACAGCCTGCTGTGGGCGCCAGCTGCCAGCAGCCACGAGCACCAAGGTAGGGAGCAGATAATTACCTTTTTTATTTGTGTCCTTTTTTACCGGTTCCATTCAACTATATAGATTCTTATTTAAGAATAAGGTTTTAAGTCATGACATTAATTATATGACTGCTTTCTTCTAGGTTTAGTCTCCCAGGTTAGCATGGATTTGGTCTTAAGTAAATATTTTCATATGTTGCCCAAGCACCACGCTTAACTTTTCCCATCCTCTTGAAGCTCCTTAAATCCAGCCTGCCTGCTGTCATGTCTCTTCTTCACCTACTGCTCTCTCACTTGTTTGTTCTTCAACTATAGACCCCTTTTGTTTCTGTGTCCCTGCTAGGAGTCGTAGCTCAGGACTCTGCGAAGGACCTCACCCCTCGTTCCTTCAGCTCTGCAGCTCCCTCTACTGCCCCTCCTCCTCCTCCCCCTCCTAAAAACGCTGCCCGCATGTTGGCCCTGGCCTTGGCAGAGTCTGCCCAGCAGGTCTCCATTCAGTCTCAGTCCCGACACTCTGAGCCTTCCACACCGGTGTCCCCCCCGCAGCCACAGGAGACCTCTAACCTCCAGGACATGCCGCATCCACTGGTCACACATTACCTGACTTCGTCCTCCGAGGGAACAGGGAGTGGAAGTTCCCTGCCACTAAACAGAACTGCCCCCCGTGTCACCACGGCCTCCTCGTATGCCCCCACCTCCAGTCCTACAATCACACAGCAGCCTCTAGAGTTAGACAGCATCACTACCAAGCCTTCAGACAGCACCAAATCCCTTACAGCTCCACCTGCAACACAGCCTGGAACAGACTCAACGCCACCGGACACTCCTTTATACAAGTGCGCCCCCCTCCCCAGTTCATCCAGCAGCACTTCTCCAAGCAGGAAAAGTCCAGAAAGGCAGCAGCCTGGCCCAGCACAGGTCCCAGTACAGAATGCAGTACAGGTCCCAGTACAGATCCCAGCACAGGTTCCAATACAGGTACAGAATACAGTACAGGTCACAGCTCAGATCCCAGTACAGGTCCCAGTACAGGTCCCAGTGCAGGTCCCAGTACAGATCCCAGTACAGGTCCCAGTACAGGTCCCAGTACAGGTCCCAGTACAGGTCCCAGTACAGATCCCAGTACAGATCCCAGTACAGATCCCAGTACAGATCCCAGTACAGATCCCAGTACAGATCCCAGTACAGATCCCAGTACAGATCCCAGTACAGATCCCAGTCCGTAGCAACTCACCTACTACCACTCCAGCCCCCTCCCCCAGTGACAGCTACAAAGTTACTGGAGTCTTACCACATCCTGTTCCTAAGGTAAGTCTCACCACTTTTATATGTAACTTAGGCTTTAAAAATGATGAAGGCTCTTGCATTGTAATAGTGAGCTGCAGTAAGCATGATCCAAATGGATCCACTGTATTCCTTGTGCCGCAGCTAAAATGTCACACGATTATTATTATCCTCTGGAAACACGTTTCGAGTGACGGTGTCGGGCACCCACTCATCCGTTGAGAGTAGATCGTATGTGTCTAGGGGAATACCTGCTGTCCATTTGACAATCTTTGAATACCAACTGTAAATCAACGCCTGGAAGTTCCGTTGATACAGTCAGCTGGTTATGGTCGCCTAAAAACGCCAGGCACCTGCTTCAGAGCACTTGTGAAGTTGGCAAAACAGTAGGCACATACTAGGTGGTAGAAGACACTGCATGTGTAGTCTTCAGAGATGTGTTGGTATTCCCTGGTTTTGTGTGTTTTAAAGCCAACAAACGCCAAATACGCCAACGAGAGGCACCAAAACCAGTAGGAAAGGGAAGAACATAAGAAAAACACCTAAATAAACAGACATTTAGAATGTATGCCATGCTGCTGCCGGGATTGGAACTACCCAGCAACCAGACTGGTGACACTGAGCAGAACTGTGAACTTAATCGGTAATAATGTTGTTTTCTTTGTTCTTTGTCTTAGGTTAAACCAGAGGAGACTGCATCACCCCCAATCCTTTTAAAACCATCAGAGCAGCCCCCTCCGATAGCTCAAAAGCCTAAGAGGAAGGCTGTCTCCATCCCCCCGCATCAAACACAACCTCAGCAGCAGAGCCAAGCTCAGATACAGCCTCATCTTCCAATACAGCCACACATGCAATCACAGGTCCAAACCCAACCACAGCCCCCATCGAAGGCCAGCGCACGAGTGGCCCCCACCTCTGTGGAGCCTATTGAGAAGCCTTGGGAGGCCATAAAGCCAGTGCAGCCCCGTACAGAGTCTGCTAAGTACAACGACGTGTACGGAGCCACACCTCCGGCCCCTCCAGTCCGCACCATCGAGAGCAAACTGGCCACAGCAGCACTTAGCCAAAGTGAAGCCTCCTACCATTGCCTGGGGGAGGGCCCTGTGCCGGGGCATCTGGAAGAAGGTCTGCCTCACCACCCTCCCTCTCCTCGGAAATCTTCCACGCATCAGCCGACCTATCTGTACCACGCTAAAGGAGAACCTGTCTTAATTGAGCCCACAGCAGCTGCATACTACCACCAGAGGCCTCTTCCCAAGGGCCCACAGTCCAAACAACGCCACATGCGGCCAGACAGCGTCCCCCCGCACCTCTCCTACGTGTCCAAGTCGGAGCCTCAGATACCTTACAACGCCCGACTAGACAACAGATACAGCACTTTAGGCCCCAGGTCCTACCACCACTCCATGAAGTCCAGAGGAAACCCCCGCAGTGTGTACATGTCCCCGGGGCCGGGGCATCAGGGTTACAGCCACGACAGACCCCAAGGCTATCCCACCATCCGCAGAGTGCACTCCCTCCACGTTCCCTCCACTATTCGCACCGTGCCTATCCACAGGACTGAAGTTCCTCCAGATGATGATATTTTCTTCTACCATCGACCCATGTATCCGTGCAAAGCCTACCAGCAGCCCCCGCAGCAGCCCTCCCATCAGCAGCCCCCCCATCAGCAGCCCCCCCATCAGCAGCCCTCCCATCAGCAGCCCCCCCATCAGCAGCCCTCCCATCAGCAGCCCCCGCATCAGCAGCCCCCCCATCAGCAGCCCTCCCATCAGCAGCCCCCCCATCAGCAGCCCCCCCATCAGCAGCCCCCGCATCAGCAGCCCCCCCATCAGCAGCCCCCCCATCAGCAGCCCCCCCATCAGCAGCCCTCCCATCAGCAGCCCCCCCATCAGCAGCCCCCCCATCAGCAGCCCCCGCATCAGCAGCCCTCCCATCAGCAGCCCTCCCATCAGCAGCCCCCGCATCAGCAGCCCTCCCATCAGCAGCCCCTGCAACAGCCCCCCCAGCAGTCCTCCTCTCAATCAGACTACCACGTAACCCAGCTGCAGCCTTACTTTGAGAATGGCCGGGTTCAGTACCGCTACAGTCCGTACTCTGGTTCAAGCCCTTTGGAGGCGCCTTTCTATGACATCGATCCTTACGGCACCATCAGAGTCCGGCACTTGCCCTCCCATGGGGGCCGAGACCCTGGAGCCGCTGCTGGCCGACCGGGTGGAAAGGCGACTGGGTACCACTTCCTCGCTCGCCATGTTCTCCCACCTGGGATGGAGCACAGCTTTGTGAGCAGGGACATGCCCCCCAGTCATGGGAACAAGGAAGGTGCCACTTACCTGGCTTGGGACCCGGAGGAGTCAGAGAGGCTCCGCATGCACTCAATCCGCAGGGAGAGCAGGGCCAGACAGAAGATCAGAGGCCCTGTCCTCTCTCAGTACGACAATGTTGGCTTGTTTGCACCGGCAGATATATCAGGCTATGAAACGCTGCACCTGCGCAGTAAATCTGACCCCGGCAAAGCTGTGCTGGTTGCAGCTGAGAGCAAAGATGGCCGCTACCTCCCGAGACACTTGGTGTCTGACCCGGAAGTCCTCATGTACATGGAGACTGATAAACACTTCCAGGGCAGCGCTGTGGGAGAGAAGTCAGATGGATTCCCCAAGCAAAGCGGTACCAAGAAATGCCAATCCTCTCACTCCCTTCCGGCGACTCTGAGCCACAGCCTGTCCCCTCAGGAAGGCGGCTGGCACGAGGCCGGAGACGAGCCGCTGGGTGGAGACAGCGGCAGGCCCAAACTCCGGCAGCAGGAGTATCAAAGCCAGAGGAACATCCAACCACGTTACGAATGTCCTGATTCTGAACACAACCAGAGAAAGGTGAAAACATCCAGCAGCTACCACGGTACAGAGGAGCAGCTGTCGGCCCCCTGGGAACAACTCAGCCACTCCAACCTGGAGCGGTCACACAGCGTCCGGGAGCAGGGCCACCCTGACCTGGACAGGGACTACTCATATCAGAATCACGGCACTAAACCGGTGCACTCCCACTATGATAACTTGGACGATTACCACCCGGTACCTCAGCCTCAGGCCCCGGTTCAAACCCGCGGGGGCTCCTTTCCCACCCCAGGGTTCACAGTGAGCCACGGCAACACAGCGTACTCCACAGCACTGGGCCAGGGAGCCTTCATCCAGGCCGAGCTGGCCCTGCAGAGGCAAGAGATAGAGATACTTACAGAATAAAGCATTTAAGGGGGGGGGGGGGGACAGCTAAAGAAAAATGATCTTTAGCTGCGTAGAAGAAAGACTATTGAGCTATGGTTGCAGCCTCTGCAGGACAGCGGCCTGTCGTATCACCAATATTTTTGCTCCTCTGTATTTTTAAAGAATTGTAAGACTTTTTAAAGAGAGTCCTGAATGTACCGGAAGCTAATGTACAAGAGGTCCTATTGTTGTGATTGATTGAGACAGTAGCCGGTCATAAATGTATATGATATGAACGATGTGAGGTACTTTGAACAGCAACACAAAAATGTGAAATATATACACAATATATATATATATATTAGGATAACTAGAAAAGAGACTTTTTCTTTAGGTGTGGCGCTGGGTATGAGCACAGAGTGGGGATTAAGGGTATGCATTTCAGAAATGCATGCACTCTATCTCTTACAGAAAAATTCTGTGTACTTCACTATCCCCTGTATTCTTTGTGTGTTACAGCAGGGGGGGACATGTAGGTCATCGTCGTCATCCCCCCCCCCTGCTGACATGCACACAAGTCATTGAACGAGTCCCTGTTTGCCTCGGAGAATCAGACGTTAAAACATGTGATGTGAAGGAGCCACAATGGGTTACTTTGAGTTAATACAGAGGTTATCAATGTCTTATTTTCTGTGTGACTGTGCCATTTTTTATGTAACTTTGCTATAAACAGATTTCAATGACTTCTAAGGAATGTTTTGGTACTTGTGTGTTCTTAATCGAATGTGGGACCAAACGACTTGGCGCAGTTGTTGCACATACAGGATAAAGAGGGGACGTGGAAGAATGCCTGTTATACCTTTTTAGATGTGTGTGAGGTTATTTGTATTTCCTCTTTTTCTTTTTTATCACATTCACAGTACTTTCATGAACTGGAATAACTGAATAAAGCTGAAAACAATGTCCTCTAAAACAATGTGGTGAAGAACATGTTGCTGTTTGGAAAAGAACACTTGGTGACAAAGACCACTGTTTTTTTTGTTTTTTTTAATTGAAGAGGGACAGTGCACATTGATGAACATTTAAAACAAATAATGCTTTAAAAATGTAAACATGCCGGATTTTTGCTTTGATCTAGTTTCCATCCGTAGTCCCTCACATACAACATTTAAAAAAGTGGTGTTCACTTTACCATTGTCATAATGCACAAACATTGTGATATCTGGATAAAGATCACTTTAATGATTGTTGACAGGTCAGGGTTGAAAGGGGACATAATGGGTTCATTCGTTTTGTGTAGGAGGAAGCACCCATAGATATTTGGGGCCATTTCTTTCTGGTTTCATGTATTGAAATCAATGTTTAATACATTAATCTGGTACTACGTGACCTTTTGCACCATCATTTATGGATTACAATATGTTGTCCTGATCCAGGTTGTACTCTGTAACTGTTTGACTTCTATATCGCTTGCAGGTTTTGCTCCTCTTGCCTTATCTAAAGCCTCTCCCTTTCCAGATGGGGAACTGAAGGAAGGCACTGTGTACTTGAATGTGAAACGAAACACTCTTGTTTCAAACTAGAGGTATCTACAGTAAGATATGAAATAAATAAAACTGTTCAGGAATAGCTATAATCCATGTCTTTTAATATGTCCATGATATTAATATACACCTCTGCTTGGCTCTGTCTGACATTTACTTGAAAAAGGACAATCTGGACAAGTTTCGGAGATAAGAGCACAAAACATAAGTAATTAATTATAGATTGAACCAGGTTTAACACAATGGCCGTGTGTGAACTCATTTATATGAGGGTTTCTTTTCCTCATAGACCAGTCGACTGTAAAGCATAAAAGTCATTTATTTCTCTTTTTGAGTCAAATACATTTAGAGTGTATTTTTAAGGATTACTGACTAGTCAATACAGCTGCACTATTAGAGGAAAATATATTTGATAAGCACTAATATGCACTATAACTAGCGAAAAGTAAAAGCTAAATTCAAAGTGTACTCAGTTTTAGTATTCTGCTGCTTTCAGTATACTGTTTTATTAAACCGTAGGTAATTTTGGGCCAGAGGGCCTTTACTGGTGCTATCGGAGTTGAAAGGGGGAAACAGAGGGGAGGACATTGCCTGAAATGTTCGGATTGGAACCAGTTTACTAGGCAGCGGTGACTGCTATGGGCCACCAGCTCTAACCAATCTGTCAGTATACTGTTAAATCACAAAAAAAGTGCTTGTTGAGTAAAAGAAAATTAGAGCAAATTATCTCCAATATTTGTATATTGAATGTTGAATTGAACACAACATTCATCAATACAAACAGTAAATAGAATAAGAAAAGTGCAGTTTTCCACTGATAATCCATTTCAACTAACTCAAATAATTCTATATCAATGTGCAATATCAAAGTCCTTTTTTTAAAGTGTTCATCTAGTTGACATTGCAATGGCGATATACAAAAATAATATTGTGCAGCCCTACTAGTCCCAGTAATGCCATGCTGCTTTTAGAAAATATAAGGTGTCATGTTCCCCAGAGTTGTTTGCCACTACTTGAGATGTTTTTCTGTAAGTGGGTCTTAAGTTTGTTTAGTTTGCCTCATGCATGCACGTGTTGAGTGGTGCAGTAGAGTCCTGCAAACAGATTCATGCAAGTGTTTCTCATCCTTAGCATCACTGCTACAGCACATTCGCCAGATTCACCTCATCCCTCCAGCTGAAATAATTTCATATTCATAAACTATGGCGGCCTCCAGAGTTGGGTTCGTGGTTCCCTTTGTTTCATCCTATAAATACTAACTTTTGGTAATGTCCTACTTCCTAACAGCCTCCATTTTAAGGTACCACAATGGCACTCAGCTATAACCTTCCTATCTGCTGCTAAATGCGAAACTCTGCTCTACTGCACAATTTTTAAATATCTATGCTATGGGACCCTTTACACCTCCTGCCTTGCCTTTTCAACCAAAACTCACCTATTCTTACTTGCTTTTCTCCCCTTACCTCTAAGTAAGTCTTTCTCTCTTCTAGTGCAGAAAAAAAAAGATAAATACAATCACAAATGTTATTACGTTGTCGATATAGCCTTTAGGCTTAGCGATAAGCGTTATCATTATTTAGCCGGATGGCCCTAATTGACTCCTTACTGCCATCTCTGTGAGCACTAACACCTGGGGCCTTTCTCATTTCACAAATGTCCCCTCCTCGAATCCTTGGTCCTCCGGTAGTGACCCGGAAATGGTTTTCGGCGCGCCATGTTGAAGGACATCTCATTTCTCTAAATGCACATCGAGGATCGAGCGTCGAGGAGGCTCTCTGGAGGAGCTATAATCGAGGATACACAGATGGCTCCTCCGCGGATGCATTTCCGGCAACAGTGATGTTTAAAAGAGTCGACTCGTGACCAAGCGGCAAACTCTGGGGCAGAGCCGGGAGGCCAATAAGGAAGTGCCACAAACTGCAGTTCATCTATTGGCCGATAGGCGATGACTGCAGAAAGGAAGAATGTCCATAGACCCCCATGTTAAAATGTCCAACTTTACAGCAGAAATAAACATGTTTCTGCCCATGGATGCAATCAAAATTATTCGGGATATAGTTAGATTCCACCTTAATGATTATTAATTGTTGAGTGAATTGTTTTATAACGCGACCCTTTTATTTATATTAGTTCTTAAAGTTTTTGCATAAATTAGGGCGTGGTCACTTTGATGGACAGGTACGTGCCTCACTGTCAGCTAACAGCAACTTGTCCACTCTGCTAGGCTACAACGTTAGCTAGTTGTAGTTACTGTACTTTACCCTTTAGCCGTGTTCGTGGTGATTGTGCCTTTTAGGGAATGTTGTTACAAATACCAGACAATTAAAATGTTGTGCTGTGCGCTTGAATGTACTAACAGAACTTCCAAGAAGTCTAAAATGATAATATTATACATGTTAACCCCGTTAGCAGGTGTTTGTGTGCTTGTTAGCCAGCTAAGGACGTAACCCTTTATACATGTGTATATATATATATTAGGGCTGTCAGTCGATTAAAATATTTAATCGCGATTAATCGCATGATAGTCCATAGTTAATCGCGATTAATCGCAAATTAATCGCACATTTTTTATCTGTTCTAAATGTACCTTAGAGGGATATCTTTCAAGTTTGTAATACTCTTATCAACATATGAGTGGACAAATATGCTTTATATGTTTGTTTATTATCATTTGAACAATGACAAATATTCTCATGAATATTAAACACAACAACCTGAACATTACAAATATTCGCCTCAATTCAACCTGGAACCTCTCTCATACAATAATTGTGTGTGTGTGTGTGTGTGTGTGTGTGTGTGTGTGTGTGTGTGTGTGTGTGTGTGTGTGTGTGTGTGTGTGTGTGTGTGTGTGTGTGTGTGTGTGTGTGTGTGTGTGTGTGTGTGTGTGTGTGTGTGTGTGTGTGTGTGTGTGTGTGTGTGTGTGTGTGGATCGTTGAGCTATGTGCAGCTCAAGGCATATATGCTCGAATGGGAGCTGCCTGGACGCTGCAATAATGTTGCGCTGACTTTTCGTACAATGTCCCACTGTCTGGCTACCTGCATAAAGTCAAGTGCTCGGCGCAGTTGTCGGCGAAATGTCATTGAAACAGCTCCTTATATCCGTTAGCGCAGCTAGCTAGCACCAGATGCTAACAACAACACGTAGGTGTGCCTCGCTCGCGCGAGTCGCGCCACACATACACACTCCCTCCCGGTCCTCCCGATGGCCAGTCCGGGCCTGCCAGTGAGCGTGGAAGTGTGGTCTGCCACAAGCGGGCGGCAGGAGCGGGGCTGTCAGCATCAGCTTGTCGATGGTATTTTACACTCGATGCGCTCTGAAACTACGGCGGCCAAGGACAAAAAATACACATGCGTTAATCGCGTTAAAATAATTAGTGGCGTTAATTTTTTTTTGCGTTAACGCGTTATTAACGCGTTAACTTGACAGCCCTAATATATATATATATATATATATATATATATATATATTTATACATGTGTAAATATATATATATATATATATATATATATATATATATACATACATATATATATATATATATATATATATATATACATACATATATATATATATATATATATATATATACATACATATACAGTTTAGTTTATGATTCAGCCTTGGGTAAGACTTTTATAGTCTATGGCTATGACGCCCATAACGCTAAACGGGAGTAAGGCGCCGTTTACACGAGGAGAAAACTGCTTGTATCTGCATAGTTTCGCGTGCGTATAGCCCTATTATTTACACGAGGCCGATAGAAACTGACCCCACAAACAATAACGGGTCCCAAGGTGGATAGATTTGCAAACGAAACGCTCTGGGGGGTCAACCGAGTCCGTGTAATCACCTCGATACGAATATTTCCTGAAAAAATAACGATAGCCCCGGCTCTCCCCACCTCTCCTGCTCACTGCTGTATCAACTATCAAAAATAGCTGTGTTAATTAAACGCACAAGGGGTTCTTGAATGAAATAATATTATAAAAGGCAAACCAGAATTGTTAACGCCCAATATACTCCTTAAACAAAATAAACAGAGTCAGATTTCATGCATTGATCCATTATATTGACAAAGGAGGATCTCACCCGGTGTTTGTAGAGAATATCTCTCTCTTTCTGAGCCGTCCTCTCCACGGAGTTGTTTTCTTTCGTGTTTCTTGGTCGGGATGCAATATCCACAGATTGGTTTCTTTCAGTTTCTTTCAGTTTCAGTTTCAGTTTCGGGGCTTAAACAGAAGGGTAGCCATGGCAACATTGCGGCGGGGCTGCTTGGTTGCTCTTCTTCGCGGCTTTTGGTGTATTTTGGCGGAAGTTACAGCGCCACTTACAGTCCCAGCATATGTACTACAGCGTTTCCAGCGGCCTCGTTTGAACAGACACGTTAAATGAAACAAATGCATGTGAACGGAAGACTTTTTTGAATACGCATACTGTGCATAAACGCAAACGGTCCCATGTGAGCGGGGCCTAAATGTCAAAAGGGGACCCGCCGGAGCTAACGGAGCCGCAGGGGGTGTCCCGGCGGCGGAGTCCGGCGTTATAACTGGAGATCAAGGAACGCAGCGAAACGCGGACTTGGTTCGCCTGCAGCCCGCTGTAGTATTAGCTAAAGAAATTATGTTGAACAAGGCTTAAGCTGAACATCGCCACAATTGTTCTGCTATGTATCGGTACTTATTTTATTTTATTAACGTGTGAATGACAAGCATTAAGAATAACAAAAAATAGTTAATTCTCTTGCAGATTGTCTCGTTTGATTATGAATGTAACGTTTATATAGTGGAACTACACTGTTTTATCAAAACCAAAGTGCCACGCAGTAACTTGGTATTGTAGTGATCACTTATTAATACACTAATCTAATCAAGGAACTACAGGTTGGGGGTATTGTTCCGCACGGACACTAATGCTTACTGTACCTCCGGGGTATATACTGTGGGTCCTTCTCAGGTCGATTAAATGGAATCCTTGCGCCCCTCACTTGCGTCGTTTCCCTGCGTTTAGTCCCTCCCACCAGGGAAGCATGGAGAGACGCAAGGAAACCACGAGAAGCAGGGAAATGAGTTTAGAGCAATGGCAC